TGTTTGGGCGTGTTGAAAATCCACCCAATCCGAGCACTTGATGAAATTCAAGCGGCTTGGGATATTGAAACTTGGCAATCGGGTTTGGAGCTTCAAGAAGGGCGGCTGGATTATGCCCAGCCGGGTTTTCAAATGCAAAGCCGGACACAACCTGATTGGAGGAACAGCGGTCGAGAGTGGGAACTTGCGAAAAGGCCGGGCACGACTAGAAAAAAAACATGGGCTTGCGAGACAGCTGGGCGTGGCCAAATCTGGAAAATTGCGGCCGGGTACTTGAGTTGCGGAGCTACGGCCGAAGCTTGAAGGCTAGTAGGAAGCAGCCAAAATAGCTTGAGGTTTTGAATGCGGCCGGGCTATGTGCGAACGTGGTTGGGCGCGGTCGAAGGAGCTTGGGCTCGCAAATTGCGGCCGGGTCTGCTGGAAGGCACGGCCGGGTACGGAGCTGGGCAACCAGATGTGGTCGGGCCTTGCTCAATCGAGGCCGAACTTTATTTCAGGTGTGGTTGGAGATTGAAGGCGGCCAAGTGTGTGCGAAGTATGGCTAGAGTGCGGCCGGGGGTTTTTCCAAGGGACATGCGGCCGAAGTATATTGAGAGGAAGATGCGGCCGAAGGTTTTTAGACTAAAGTGTGGAAATGGCCACGTTTGGGGCATCTAGGTTATTTGCAAATTGGGCTAAAGGATTTGTTTGAGTTGGAAAGTTTAGTTGTATTATTATATATATATATATATATATTCAAATAAGTGGGGCTGGAACTTCAAAACATGCGGCCGGGGCTTTATTGAACTTCCTTTATCTAATATTGTATTGATATTATATATATATATTTCCACGTTCAAAGGCTCCCTCCATATCTGATTGCCAATTGCTTTTGCTCCTTTTCCCATCTTTTCCTACTCACACTTTTAATATAAAACTCATTCTTTCTCTAAAGCTTTTGCCCATTGTCCCCTTGCCATTATGAAGCATTGACTCACAAAGATGCCAAATACTTCAGAACATATCTCTTTTACAAAGGTAATTCCTTGTTACCAAGAGTTATGGTAACAAGAAATTAAGATGACACAAAGGAGGTAAAAGCTGGCCAAATCCGGATTTCCAGAGCTGTGGTAACATGCTGGATTGGTTGGATAGGCAATACTTGTCCAATGGAGCTCAAATTTGGATATGTTGTAGTTAACATCCATTGGAACAAATCTCATGAAGATCATGACCTCATCCGAGCACCAGAGCATGTTGATCCCAGGCCAAGAAGTTGACCTACGAAAATGAACAAAAACAAAATTTATAACTAATAATGCACTTTTAGCTCATTTTCATTCTAACCAAGGTAAAATCTAAGAAAACACAAAAAAGAAGTAAAAAGCTATAAAACGTCAAGAACTAACTCAAAATAGTGGGTGAATAACATGAAAAATCATGTATAAAAATGAACCGAACATATATATTTGGAATTTAATGTATATTATATGGGTGGCAATATAAGAGAAATCGGAGGCCCAAGTTTAAGCCACCAATTCAAGCCCAGATTTTCGGAGGATCATATGCACGTAACGGAAGCATCACAAGGAAAGAAATCAATGAGTTTGATAAATCCGAAAGTTCCAAAGCAAGGAAGAATCAAGCATGTCAGAATATCTCAATCAATGCAATCCCACGGATTTAGGAGGGCTTCAAAAGGAAAGATCTTTAAGAAGAGTTGACATTGGCCAGTCAATGGCCAGCCCATGGGCTGACGAGTGCCCTATATAAACATCACCAAGTGAAGACACAAACACACAACATCATACAGACAAACCTATCTTTCGTCTCGCACTTTTTTTTTCCTAGACTTAGGATTTTATTTTCAAGCACCTAGTGTAGCGAGTTCTTCCTTTTTCTAGTGTAAGTTTCAATTCTTGTNCGTGTCATTTAGATTCAAGTTTATTTCCATTGCTTTGCTTTTCATTGTTATCGCACTTTGATTAAGTTCAATTTCAAGTCTATTTT